ATAAGACCTACGTAGAGCAGTACAAGAAATTACAAATCATGTAATTTGTCCAAGATTGTCAATAATCATTCCTGTTTGTTTTTAGGACAAAGCTAAGTTGACGGCTCAGATACGAGCTCAAGTATCAGTCATGGAAGGCCTGAGAACCGAAAGAAAACTATGGAGCGAGGAGCTTGCCCAACAAGGTAATGGAAATGTTTGCAAAAACACCTACCTTTTAAAATAATTGATTCTGAGTAAGAGCTTTGTGCTGTTTGTTGTCACCAGGATCGTCCCTTGCTCAGGATCGAGGACGAATGGAGGCTCGCATAGAGGCGCTGACAGCTGAAGTCGGTGAAGTGAAGAAGGAATGCCAGGTAAGGAAAGATAGAGTAATATTTGATTGAGCGTCGAATGTACTCCGGGATTGCTAAGATTTTACTTTCCTTCACTCCGGGGTTGATCAAGAAAACCCGTGCCACTTATTTAACCGATGAGATGCAAAACAAAAGCCAATCGCGTGTCGGTCACTGGGGTCCTCCCGCGTTAGAATTCGGGTTCTCATTGGCTTCCTGTTTGTATATTATCTTTATCAGCTGTTATGGTTAATTTGATTTTGTTTCTTGAAAGCTTAATCGAAAGGCGCCCTTATGAAACAAACCAATCGTCTTCACGCTCCTTTATGCATTTTTGAAGCCTTTTCTTAGTATTGTTGGTTGTTTCAGTGATGTAGAATGTTTCGAATATCAAGTTATTCTGACGTTCCTCCGAAGACACCTTCGCAAACTTGCAGCTGGCGAAAAATTTTAAAATCTTTTATGCATCCTTCTTATTTCAGAATGCCAATGAAACGATCGCCATCAAGGCTAAAGTTATAGAGGATCAAACGGACTCCATTAGGAAGCTCAAACAGGTTAGTCCTTAATCACACACTCAGGTAGTAACTATTGATCTCTTGTCCATGATGGCAGCTTTCTCTTTTTGGTTTTAGAAAATTGCAGATCAGGACTCTGACATGCGCAAAAGGAAGGAAGATGGCGAATCACGTGAGAAAAACCTTGAGGAACAGCTAGCTGTTGAGACATCAGCAAATCAGGATTTGCAAGTGAGGTTCTTTGTTGGTAGAATGAGAAAGTTACTCTGACAGACCGCTTACTTAAACCTCATTTGCTATGACTCAATTCTTTTGTTATCCCATCATTGGAGAGTCCAAAGGGTTCAAGTTGATTGGTCAAGAAATCTCGTGACACGTGAGCCAATGAGACACAATACTAAAACCAGTTGCGGAGTGTGCACTTAAGTTTTCCCGCGCTTGAAGCGGCGTACTTGTATTTTCTTTGAATTCTCATTGGCTCCTGTTGATATCGACCTTGTTCTGATTGGTAGTTGCGATAATATTTGTTCCACGACACTTAGTCGTAAGGCGCTTTGTGATGCTACAACTTTTGCTTTTGTTAAACGTTAAAGGAACAATTGGATGGACTTGTGGACCGAAAGGAATCACTCAAACAAGAACTAAGGAAAACACAGGTAGAGTTGGAGACCAGTAAGGAAAATCACAGGTATGTTATCTGGTATTACATCTTTGAAATAAACTGTGTTCAAAAATGGACACAGTTATATTTTAGGACGACAGAAGAGTTTCGCAGTACTTCGTTTTATTTTTAAAGCATCCGTTTTATGTTTAAAGCATCAAGGAGGCGAAGAACTGAGGCGCATCTGCGAGTTTCTCATCTTTATACGTAATATTTGACCTCTTGTGTTGGTAAACAGAAGCTAAAGTAAATGGAGGCTTTTCAATGTAAAATTGTACTTATTACTTGTGATCTAAATGTCATCTGATCTACAACAGGATTTTGAAAACAAAATGGCACGAAAAGAGTGAACTAATAGGCAAGTTGGAAAAGGAAGTTGTTGAGATGCGAAATAACTTAAGAGGAAAGGAAAAAACTTTAATTGAAGAGAGAGACAAAGCTGTGAAGGCGGCCGAGTAAGTATTCCGATTTTTTTGCTAGCTTACTGCTTTGAACGAAACAACCTTGCCAAGTGAAACAAAGCTAGCTCTAAGGGGAAACAAAAGCTTTGTTCGTATTGTTGTTACAGTTATTCGTACTCAAGAACTCCAGGAAACTTAAAGCGCATAGGATTAAGTGTGGATACACTAAGCGAAAGTAACAACATCAGTCAATCAGAAGAGGGAAGAATAAGACAGGCAGTCGGGAAATGCGAGTGACTGAAAAGTGATCGATTTTAGTTTGATTGGTAGATCTGATTGGTTGAGAGGGAAGTGCAAGGTTTTTTTTGACCAATCGCAAAGCGAACTACATACGAAACCAAAGCAATCCGGAATTACTTTCGGCGCTCTTTTAAACATGAGTCTAACCAGGTTGCCAGCTGATGTCTTTACTGTTACCTTTTTTTTTGTACCATACGACTTTTTCCTTTTTCAAAACGCTCAGTTCCGCCGTAGAGAGGTTAAAAGTCTGTGATGATGCTTTCCGCAAACAGCTCGAACAAGAACGACGGGCACACGAGCAACAGCTTCAGACACTGGCCAACGAAAAACAGCAGGAGGTAGAACGAGCTAATAACAGGGTAAGGAAAGAAAGTGAAAAATCTTGTTGATCACCACAACGGTTGTACATCCGAGGCACGTCTTCTTGAATTAAATTATGATCGTTTCATCTTTCCTAAAAATATGGCGGTGTCCCATGAAAATCCAGATAGGTCTCATTCCGTGGAAATCGAACGCTTGCGTGGAAGTGTCATGCACTTTTGACCCGGATGGCGCAAAAAACCGGGCTATGTTTAGAGCGGAGAAAATCGGTCTGGTAGGGACGAACCCCATAGACTTTATTCTGATAATCTTTGTGGTCAGGGCCCATTGAGCGCCATTTCGCTGCGACAGGGCTTTTCAACAAACCGCTTTTTGAGCACTGCTTAAAAAAACCCGAATCGCTTTCATTCGTTTAAACATTGCGATCATTGCACAAATTCAATCAATTTAGTTTTTGGGCGCCTTGTTGGGAAAAAAATAGTTTTGTTCCAGGAACAAATGCTCTCACCAAACATCATGTAATACAAAGCGAAGTATCGCCACGTCTTATTCAAACCACGTATTGATATGTGAACCTTTTCCTTTAAACTGTATTACCACTATTTCAGTCTAGTGCCGAAAAAAAAGAAACGATAAGGTTGTGTTTTTCTCTTCCTTTTTTCGTAGGTCGTGGAAGTGGAAGATGAGATGCGCATACTTCTACAAGAGAATGCGCTGACCAAGAAAACTTTAGAGAAACGTCTGCAGAAACTCACATCTGCTTTCACTGAAATCCAACATGACTTAGCTAGAACGTGAATGTGCTACAATACTTTCAACAAATTGTAAATGTTTTTCGTGAATATTTTCGAGAAAAACAGGTATGTGAATTATGTATGTAATAAACGATAACATAAATATAACGGCAGTTTTATCAATGTTTCTTCTGGTTAGTAACGGGAAGTGACTGAAAATGATACGAGAAAGGAAAAGACGAGGATCCGTGACGGTCTCTGATCACGCAAAGGGCTTTCAAATGGCTGGCGCTCATCGTAATCAATTCGAGTTCATCTGAATTCGTAGTTCAGTCGTGGGTACCTTTTTTAACACACATTAAAGCTCAGCACTATTCGCGATACTCAAAGAAACTTCAAAATTAGAATTGGGCCTGCTAATTTGACCAATATCAGTTCGCAGATTAAACAATAGATATAATAGAGCTGAAATATAGTGTCACATTCCAAACTGTCTCATCGATCTATTGTTACATTTCGTACGTTTGTTATTAGCAACCTCCCGTAAATGACCATCTCTCCTCTCCTCACTCCGTCACCCACGATCGAAAACCATTCTCGCGAGCGCCTAGTCTTAGTCACAGACCCGATGGTGTCCTCTACGAGGACTTACAATGTATTTAAAATTGCTTCTTTTTTATTTCTTTACTCGAAGGAAATCCTAATGCTGTTCGTTTAAGTTCAAAGTGCTTTTTTCATTTGCTCAGGTGTAAACAAATCATAGCCCTCCACCCTTCCTAATAGAACACGACCTCCAAAGAAAATCCGTTTTAATCAAAGAGCATAGTCGCAACCATTAGGTAACATAAACCTCTCTACTTTTACAATATTTTTTTTCTCTCATATCTATTTTGAAAATTCAACCTAACAGGCCGTGCAAACGGAAGTTAAATTCTTCATTTTATAGAGTATATAAAAAAAAAGGAAAATTTAATTCTTATTATTTTCGCTATTTCTTGATTCAAAATAATACCATGCGCGCTCAAGTAGATTTATGTACTCAAAGGAACGAGTTGATACAAGTCTCGCTGCGGGACAACGAGCAATAGAATGAAATAAAATTGTTACAGTATTTTTCTACCCTCTGAAGGTTATTTCATTTTAGTATATTTACACCTTAATTTGACTATTCGATCATCAAACGTAATATAATCTATAACGTCTCGACCTGGTTGCAGATAATTCACTATCAATTGTCTTTTACCACTACAGAAATGGTAATATGCAAAGGGGCCGCGTTGGCTTGCCAACGATCTCGCATTTGGAAACTATTAACTTAGTTAGTCGAGAAGATCTCAGATAAGAAAACCGTTTTGTAAGCTCAATTCAGACCACGCGTGGTGTACCTGGCTCGGAGTCAACAGAGACCAACAAGGGGCCAGTGCACGGTCACACGGTGGTTTTCAGGGATACGGCTATTTCTTTTCCTGAGCATCGTCTTTTTTTTCATTTTTTTTTGTGAGCATACAAATCTGCTCTTTTCTACTGACTTCTTCATTGAGAAAAGCTAGGAAACCTGGGACAAGCTCGACCATGTGATCTTGCTTGAATTTTCATTTCTCCATCTTAAAATGATTTATACTCATCTGTATGTAACTATTTTGAGAAAGGCAAAGGAGCCGATGGAAGACTATAGTGCAGTCAAGTGGTCTGAATTGAGACAAGAAACAGTCGAAGATAAGAATACTATTCAATAAACCTTTAAGTAGCTGTTCATGTAGTAGTTTGATGTACGGATACCAAAAGTTAACACAAAATTTCAATCACTCCACGGAAGATTTTCAATGGTTAACTATAGCCGTGGACATTTGCAGCCATTAACTAAGATTCCTATTTCGTATTGCTTGATCAACAACCATTCAACAGAACAAGGATTGGAAGCCCATATATGTTGTACCACAACCCCACTGACCATAGGCGAACCACCACGGGCTCAAATAATTAACGAAATCGAGGCTCCTTTCCATCTGCTACGCATTGGTTTGAACTGTGAATGTTTAACCCGTTCAATCAACACCAACGTTTTGCTCCATTCCTTGAGATAACGTTCCACTTGTCAAACAAAAAACTGGAAATCCCTAGGAGGCTCTTTGCGTCTTGCAAGCGTTCTTAATACCATTTTCCTGATCTCGTCCACAAGAAAAACAGAGGAGGCTACACACAGTAACAAGAAAATGTCCATACAATGTAGAGCTTCGGTGAGAAACACTGCTTGAAGAGGAGGAAAGTAAATAACTAACATCTGTCCCATAAGAGATCCGCCTACAGCGTACAGGAACATACGGTTTGTGAAGAAACCAATTTGAAAAATAGACTTCACCTGTCAATCAATGGAAGAAAGTGGTCAGACCAGTGTTAGGATTAAACCAGA